AGCGGCCGGCTGCGTGGGTGCAGGGGGCCGTGGTGCAAGCCCGTTCCCCTCAGGCGTTCAGCGCAGAGCTGAGAATAAACAGCTGCGCGGGGGACGGATGCCACATTGTCGCGGGGGGCCGGTGCCAGGTGGAAGGCGTGTCTCCGGCCGGCAATGGTGGAAAAAGGGAGAATCTGCCTCCGCTGTCCGTGAGGTTTAGCTCCGTGCAGCTACTTTTTCACGTACAGCTTCATCTAAGCCCAACACTAGATTACAAGAGGCAGTTTGCACGCTTAAATCGTTCGGGCTAATCTCCTAACAGCACATTAACTCAATAAAATCCCACCATACTTAGTAGCGAAGTATAATTCCTTTGCATTTTACACATACGCTTTTTCAGGTCTTGCTTTTTTTTAAAAAAAAAAAAAAAAAAAACTAACTTACAGGATAATGAAGTCGAAGCTCGCTATGGTAAGCTTCAGAGAAAGCTGTTTATTTTGTATTTCGTTTGCAGTCCTGGACGGTTGTCCCTGATTTTACACATCATGCCCACTCAGCCTCATTGTCAGCGGTAGCAGTGAATAACAGATATGTGGTCACGGGGAGCAGAGATGAGACGATCCAAATCTATGACATGAAAAAGAAGATAGAACATGGGGCACTGCTGCAGCACAATGGTAAGGGAGCTTTTCTTCGTAAAAAGCATTAATGATAGAAACTTGCAGCTCAAAAACTGGTCCTTGCCAGGAGAAGGAAATTTAAATTTTTTTTAATGAGTCTTTAATAGTGGTGGTGTTGCAGCCATGATGGTCTGATGATACAAGCAAGGTAAGCTTTTGAGCATAAAAATCCAAAAATAAGTTTGGGTATTAGCCCGCAAATAGAGCTGCTTCTTCCAATTATTTTTAGTTTTAACTGTTTAAGAAGTTATGGCCCACAAATGGCCCGCAAATGGCTCATGAGCCTTTTTTGTTCTACCAGGACAGTTTATCTAGTCTGTGCCTACTCCCAGCAACCATCTTTCCCAGTGCCCTTCTCCTTTCACAGACGTACATGAGCCACACAAAAGAGAGAGATTGTGTGTGAGAGCAGGCTGTTGCTGCCAGAAGAGTTAACCTGGCACATTTCCTACTTTATGTGCCTCCTGAATTACAGCCGTGAAATACGTCAGTTAATGGCTGTCCAAGTCAATGTGTTTGGGTCATTTGTAGCTCAATCCCGATTGTCCTTTTTCTCCTGATAAAAAAGTACAAAAAGTACATAGGGCTAGACTGAATGTGGTACCTGCATTCAACTTGCGTATGATAAATCTGGTGTTTATGGGAAGCAGCATGTGCAGTAAATTCAACTGTCTGCCAAGAGCAGGGCTTTGACATAGGAGAATTCCTTATCACTGATAGAAGCTCTGTGTCACCTGAACCACAGTGGTTGAGTACTGCTGTTTTGGTGAACGGACCAGGTGGAGTTCAGACATGTATGGCTACAGGGGGGCTGATGGAGCACATCAGTGACTGAATGTAACAAGAAAGTTTGGGGGTTTTGTGAAGAAATACTTAGGAAATAATTCAGGTTTTCCCAAGGGTAGGGTAGTAGCTGGCATGTTTTGATGCTAGAAGCATCTCTGTTAATTCATACGTTCTCTGTGTGATAACTGTTCATTATGTGCAACACTGTTAAGAACTCTGGTTTGTATTTCTAGGCTCAATAACTTGTTTGGAGTTCTATGGTACTGCACATCTACTGAGTGGGGCTGAAGATGGACTAATTTGTATCTGGAACACAAAGAGATGGGAATGCCTGAAATCCATTAAGGCACATGAGTGAGTTTCTTGTATCTGCATATTCATGTACATTTTCATGTTTAGTTTCCTTATAAATAATATATGTGGCTAATATGTTTGTTTTATTTTTATCAGGGGGCACGTGACATCTCTTTCTATTCATCCTTCTGGGAAATTAGCTTTGTCAGTAGGAACAGATAAAAAATTAAGGTGAGTCGAAACTGATGAAGGAATGCTAAGAATTGTAATTCAGTTGTAATAAGCCACAGTTCCGTCTTGGGAGTAGACCATGCAACACTGATAAAACATATTTGGACATCAAATGGTTCAAAGATCCATTGGTTTGTCTTTCTAAGTTGTAGGTACCAGCAATATTTTAAAGTCTTTTAAAAAAAGTCCTTGCTGTTCCTAGCTTCTTGTTGTGCTGAGTCTTTATAGTCACTTGTAGATGTATATATACATTTGTGTTTTGGAACGCAATTTATTTAAACTTCTGAAAGCTGTCAGGTTTTGTTTAGTGTGAGAAAAGTAATTTTTCAGTTGGACTGTGTACATGTTGCTGTATATATGTGTTTTAAATACATAAAATGCTATTTTAACAGCACAAATTGGTGTTGGGCTCCTTTTGGGCTCTGCATTGCAAACGGTGGTTTATAAAATAAATATCACAAATTCAGCCTCACGGTGTGCAAGAGATATATGAAGTCATCATTTTCTCTTGCATTAAGAAGGCAGTAAAATGCATGGAGATGCTTAAAAGCTTCCTTTGGATGCCTCGCATCAGCAGATAGGACTTCAGTTTCACTGTGCTGTTTTTAACCAGAACACACATTATCTACTGTTGTCTTTCAGAACTTGGAATCTGGTAGAAGGACGATCAGCCTTTATCAAAAACCTGAAGCAAAGTGAGTTTATCAGTCTAAATCCACTAAAGAGTGGAATTAGATAGTTTTACTTTTTGTATAAAGAAAAGTAGACTGAATTAGTGAACAAGTCAGTTAATTGCAAGGAACTTTCACAATGTCTTTTTTACACGTGCAGGCAAGCATATGTAAGCTTATGTCCTTAATAATAATCATTTACCAAAAGGAAAACATAGCGACACTGAAGTAATTTTTTTTTCCTTGAAATTTGATGTCAGGACATTTAAATAAATGTGTTTTGTTTTGTTTTGTTTTTCTTTATACACTTCTGATAATCAGAAACAAACATTTAAGAGCATAGTTTTACTTGTTTATTCTAGGTTATTTTATTTGTTCCTGAATTTTTCTCAGGTTTAGGTGGAAAACAGTGTCTAACAGCTTCTAAAGATTCTTACTTTTAGATTCTCATGCAATATAGAGTGCAAAAAACCCTGTGTACATGTGTATACAAATGTATCAATGTGTACAGATGCCCACATAATTAAATGGTCCCCTGATGGAGAGAGGTATGTGACCGTGATAACAAATAAAGTGGATATCTACAAACTTGACACAGCTTCAATCACTGGCACTATCACAACAGAGAAGAGAATTTCTTCACTTAGATTTATTACGGTAAGTACAAAAAAGAAAGGTGCTGGGAAATTAACTGGTTTGAAACACATGAAATTAATCACACTTGCATTTCTTTTTTCCCGTTCCAAGGATTCTATCCTTGCCATAGCTGGAGATGATGAAATGATAAGGTTCTACAGCTGTGACTCTCAAAAATGCCTGTGTGAATTTAAAGCTCATGAAAACAGGTATTCTGTATTTGTTTACTATTTAAATATTTACGGCAATGCTGAGTGCTCAGTAAAGTTTAATGACTTGTAATGTTCAGCGTATTTTACTATTGTTTTTGTTTTAATATAGAAAGTGAATTTATTTATGTGCTAAATTCCAAATTCGGGACAGACTTGTTTGCTTTTAGTATGACCACAAGTATGGTGCTGTCCATGCACGTTACAAAACCAACAGAATTAGAAATACTACAGCTCTAAATTTATGAGAGCGTGTGTGTGTAAAAATACACACACACAGAGGTGCACACTTCTCTGTGTGTGGTCTATGCATTTCTGAAATTGGGTACCAGTATTTTCCTGCAAGACCATCTAAAGAATGTTTAACCAGTCTTTACAGAATCTGGCTCTTTAGCGTGCTTAAATAAAACAGACCGGTTGTACTCAGTCCAGACAATAGGAGCGTAATCCATATACTCTGTTGTTGTTGAATACCAAATATTTGTCTAAATGCTGCTTTTAATTCATCAAAACACAAAAGCATTAGCTAAACTGTCATTGATGTGGTTAATAGCGTGTGCTTAAAAGTATTAATGTGTTCCGAATTGAATCCTAACAAGCCTAGCAAAGGCTACAGCTCCTGCTGTAAATGACAGGACTCAAAACCAGATTACTGTTCCAAGTTCCTGCCTGTCATTTTTGGGTTTTCTGTTCAAACTGATTTTTAGACTGTTGCCTATTCATCTTTGATTTCTGTCAGCTTACTGTTCTGAAGCGAACTGCCATGCTATAAAGTAACAAAGTATTACATTTTCTTCACAGAATAAAAGATATCTATAGTTTTGAAAGAGAAGGACAACATGTTATTGTTACCGCATCCAGTGATGGTTACATTAAAATGTGGAATCTGGATCTTAATAAGGTTGGTCTATTAAACTTCTTGTTACATTTATGGAAAAATACCAGAGAACCAAAATTGCAGAGAGTTCTGTTACAAAGATTAATTTTAAATCACTGAGGAAATTTTAATTGAAATCTGGATGTCTTGATCTTCCTCCATGTTATGTTCCGTAGAGATGTCTATGTCTGTGCATATATTTTTATGCACTTGTGTATTTTTGTATCTTTGTAATTTTTATAAACAAACTATAAAATCTGATGGTATTATGGAGATCTCGTCTCCTCTTTATGTAGAGTCATGCTTCCCTTCAGACCTACCTGACCAGACTTAGGACTATCTAATCAGTTATATATGTTCTAAGGACTACTGTGAATTTTTGTAATGTTGATGACCATTGCTACTCTTTTAAAAACACAGACTCTATGGGTTGAGGGAGGGGAGGTGGTCGTTCATGTAAGGGGAAAAAGTCCTTTTGAAAAATTCAAACACATTAATGTACCGGGACCTTTTATTTCCTGTATTTTCACACAGTTCTGAGTAGCACAGTTCAACAAGGAGTCACATCTTATCTTTAAAGGTTCCCATGTATATTGTTTGCTCTGGGGTTTGTATTTTAAAATCAGAATTAGATTTTTTTAAATTTAATGCCTAGTAATAAAGGATCTACTATATGCCACTATAAGTATCTCGAATAGTTCAAATAATTATCTCTCAACATTTATACACTTTATATCTCTCATCTGAATTTGCCTGTTTTTAATTACACCCCCTCTGATTATTTCTATACTTCTAAGTGCAACAGTGAAAATCCCTCTTTTCCCTTCACCTTGAATTTCTGTTCCCCTTGTACATAATTGGCACAGTGATCAGGGAACTCTCTACCTTCTCTCTAACATTGTTTTTATTTTAACCAAATGTGTGATTTTCTTCCTGTGCAGGCAAAATTTTGTAAAACTTTGTATAACTGTGTGGGCTGCTCTGTCCAGCCCTGTGAGGTAGAATATCCTAGTACCAGTAGTTTCTGATGGGTTGATGCTGTTACGCTTCACATGTGTTTGTGACACTTTATCCCCTGATATCTGTAATAGGATATTTACTCAAGTATTCCCAGAGCTGACTGATACAATTGCAGTTAAGCAATTTGCAACACGCTCTGAAGAGATTACTCTTATTCAGCAGTCTTGTCTTTGTGAGGGAGAAAAGGAATGTGATGCACTAAATTCAGATTATTTTAGCTGTACTAAAAATTGCCTATTACTCTGGAGAAACTTCTGAAATCATTAACAGGTTTTTTTTTGGGGGGGGGTGGTGTCTATGACTCATCTACTTATTCCTCATGTTAAACTTAGCCCCTTGTGCCTGAAACCCACTGATCTTGCTTGTCAAGATACGTTCTTAAAGCCATTGGGAGTTTTTTGTAAAACCACTGCTGAGGAATGGTATCAGGAACAGGACTGTAACAATGTGACCATTAACCGGTATACAGCCTCTAGTTCTAAACAGTCTTAGGCACCCGAAATTAAGTGGAAGGTGGGCAGTAAGATACTTTCTCACTTCAAATACTTAAACAGAAATAAAATAAAGTTTAATTAATCTTTTTCTATATTATATTCAGATTAAAGGTGTGCCGTCTTTACTGTGTGAAGTCAATACCAAAGCTAGGCTGACGTGTCTTGCAGTATGGCTTGACCGAGCTTCAGAAACGAAAGAAAATTCTGATAAAGCTGCAACATCATCTCAAGGTAATAGAACTATGTGTGTTTTCAGCTGTTAATGTGATTGTGACATAGAATATACTAAGTGGGAGAGTTTTACTATATGCATTGAAAAAAGTTTGGTATCATGAAGAAATGGGGATATGATGCTGGCAAGTGATATAGATATCCTTACCAATCTGATAGCATCTCAAGCCTGCATGTATGTTGGAGGACATAAGCCTCTTTTCCCTTCTGTTATGTGAAAGTTTTGTTTCTCTTTACTGGAGTAACATACTGAGGAGGCCACTGTGAAGCTTTTAAGGCAAATAAGAATAAACAGTTTGATAGGACTGCATGTCTTTTTTTCCTATAAACAACATTAGGTCTGAGGCCAATGTAGTTGGGCAAAGTTAGGAAAGCTGGTTCAGTTGGTGGTTTTTTGCTGTTGTTTCCTGGGTCGTAATCTATTTACGTATTTGTTCTTTAGGTATTTTCATATCACGGGCAAAACTAGCATAAATGGCACATTCCAATGTACCTAAAAAAAAATTTATAACCCCTTTTCTAAAATGAGATAGAAAGAAGTCTCTGTGCCATTTTTAGACTACAAAGACTGGACATAAATATCAGTGCAAATAATTTCTTGCTTTTTTCCAGCAAATGAAGATGAAAAGTCATCAATAGTCAGGAAAAAAAAAGTTTGTTGGACTGATAAAAGTGATAAAACAGCAAAAAAAAAAAAGAGAAAAATTACTCCAGAGAAGCAAAAATTGGACGCTCCACTGCAAAAGAAGAAAAAGAAACGGAATAGCTCAGCATGAAGGCAGCTACTTTCTCTACTGAATAAAAAGTAAATACTGCTGTTGCTGTAGTTTTATAAGGATGTAAACCTCTGATGGGACATATACCTCTGAATTGATCTGTTGTTTAAAAGTAATGAATGTTTTTACCCTAATAAATTGACTGATCATTCTGGGAAGTAGCAAAAGAGATGGCAACTTTTCCTAAGTGAATGAAGCAAAAATAAATTAGTAATATGTAACATTTATATTTTTCTATTAACAATAGTATACGGTTTTTCACTGGCTCTGAAAAAGCCAGCTAAAATAATAAAAATAGCTGCATCTGTCTCAGTTACATTTTTGTCTCCCTTAAATGCATATTAAAAATACGTACTTTTTCATTTTAGTGTTGGAAAACGTACTGTTCATTTGACTTAAAATATGATCTGCCTTTGTCATGCATTACTTTTCCTACTGTAAGAAGGAACATGTTAAAATTAAAATGATAATCGCATTCCATTCATATATTCACAGAAAATCGTACTTTCTAGTTCTTGACATGCAGTTATTCATAGAGTTTATAAGCAAAACGTTTGGTTTTTTTTATCGTGTCCATACTTCATGCATTTAATTTTTTTTAAAGTCTTTGCACCCATGGTTCACATGATTGAAATCTTTTGTTCAGAATATGATACATATTTTTAGGTGGAAGAGTTTATATCAATAAGGTTTTACCTTCTCTTCCCCCTTCCCATAGTATTCTTTCAAGTCCTTGATCTGAGCTGTATTGTTAAAAAAAAAAAAAAATCATCTAACATTTGAAATGTTTGTCATGCTGATAAAATGTCACCCATCTGTTTTGCACTTAAACAAAAAGTGAATTCCTGACCTTCTCAGTCAGTGGAAACAGGATTTTATCCTAAGTCTTATTACAAATATATAGTGGGAAAAACAAAGTTGAGCTGGAAAGAACGAGGTCAAATAGCTGTACTAAGCGTTCTATTTCTTTTAAAGCAAGGCATTTTAATGTTTTCTGCACTACTGGAGTACTCATTATTTTGTTTTCAACAAGTAATTGGAATTATGCTTTATTCTGATTCACTTTAGTAATAATCTGTTCCTCCTTACTTGTGTAGCAAGAGAAAAAGTAGAGAAAATCAGAAAAAAGATTGAGCCAAATCTGGAGACAGGAATGCAGGCTGTCTTAGGGATGTAAAATAGGATATAACTCCAGCTCATCTCTGTGTATGCTCTAACACTGGAACAAAGTGAGCATCGTCGGTGCTGTTCCAAGACTCTTCATGTAGCAATGGCAGCATTCTCTTGGAGGTAGGCATCTGTACTTATCTTCTGTAACTGTTTCCCTTATTTAGATAACTTACCACAACTCCTTGTCTGAATATTCAGTATAGTTGATTTATGTGAGCTCAGTTTAATTCAACATGAAGGGGATCTCAGTTGTACTTCAGTTTGAACTTACACAGCTTTTAACTTTAATAATACCCTGAACGTGTGCATACACAAACAGGCAAATAATAGAGGGATTAAAACAGTTTGTAGACTTGGCAGGAAAGGTACCAAATCAGATTTTTAACTGATAGCAAGGCTCTTATAGTAAATATAGGACATAGAAAGTATAAGCTTGAACAAGAAAATTGTGTAAAGTGTTTTCACTTGTAAATTGTTATGTCTATTTTATAGTGCTTATCTTATGATTATGCCTGTTGTTGACAAAATGGCTGCCACTACTAAAACAGGTTTTATTGTTTGAATTTTTAAATACATGAGCTCGTGGCCATGGACATCACAATTAGAGAAGCAAGCTCTCATGAGCACCAGGAAAAATCCAATCTGCACATAATTTTAAAAATTAAAAAGCAAAAACTACAGAATTTTGGTTCTAAGGTTTAGACTTACAAGTAAATATTAGACATTTGTAAAAACCAAATTCTCTGTGTAGTAACAAAGAATTATGCATCTTATGAGACTGGGAACAATTTGTGAACTGGAGACAGAGAAGACAGGTCCTAACAGCTTTTAAGATAAATACAGAAACAGTCGTGAGAGGAGAACTCGTGTCTTCTATACCTTGAGTGAATGCTCAGCTACTAACCACTACTTGGCAAATTTTTTGTTGCTGTTGTCTTGTGTACATCTTCCTTTTCAGAACATTTTCCATTCTAGTTTTCAGGGAGCTGCTTAGAACGATAGAGGGGAGGCAGCAGTGCAGAGAGAGAGGAGATGTCAGTGATGAGAAAGCTCTTCCTGCGTCAGAAAGGGTGAGCTTGCATGACACCGGTGGAGTAGACGGAGCCATGGCTGCAAGAAACAACAGCCTGGCGAGCAGCATCTCAGCTGAGCCCCAGGTGAATTCAGCAGCTCCAGCAGCTGTGGATTTCTTCCAGTTTTCCTGCTTCCCTCTTGGGGAACCCCAGTGCTGGATTACAAAGCAGAGCCCACTGAAACTTGAACCTCATAGCCATTACACAGCTTGAACAAGAAAGGGAACCCCATCCAGCACAGCTCAGATCTGTGCTGGTTGTAGCACTTTTCAGGGAAATAGGAGATCTCTATTTAAACCACTTAAGCCAACAGTGGAATTAAACTGCTCTCCACTTTCTGAAATGCAGCTAGAGAAAGCTGCGTTTTGCAGAAAGCAGAGGGCTCTGATGTTTTGTGCCTTCTGTACGAAGACAAACTGAAGCCCCTCAGCTCAGGGACCTGGCTGAAGGAGTGCTCTTTCTTTCTATATGGTTAAATGCTGATGCGAGGTAAGTGCATAGCCCACTGGAATAAATTATGCAGCACCGTTTACGTGAAGAAAGCCAGTTTCAGCACTTGAAAAAAACCAAAGTTTATGTTTGTAGACAGTTATAAACATCTTGCTACACTTTTTCCAGATTAAAAAAAAATGCAAAACATTTTCTTTTGATGTTTTCCATCTGCCACTGTTGCGTAACTTCTGCAGCAGAAGACTCCTTTTTCTGTTGCCACTAACTGTGCTTGTAATTTGAACATTATAGAAATCCTCTACATTTTCCACAAAAGGGCTATACTGAAATTACTGATCAAAACTAGAAGCATCCTGTAGGCTGCAGGAGCTCATGCCACACCAAAAACCAACCCCGAATTCTCAGCTGGACCACACACCCCCACTTGTGGTACAGGACTAGGACAGACAGGCTGCACTCGAATGCAGTTATGAGGGAGCTGTGCCCCTCGCTAGACAAGCACACCAAACCTCCTCTGCGCTGAAGTCTCTCCTGGTCTGTAGGCACCCGGGCTTGCCCGGGCATCCTGGATACCCCCCGCCGGGGCCGGGTGACCCGCAGCTCGGCAGGGAGGTGGGAAGGCATCACCGCTTCCTCCTCTGCAGCCCCGGGCTGCGGGACACGGCCTGCCCCGCCCGTTGTTTGGTTTTTGGTTGGGGTTTTGGTCTGTCCCCCC